TCTCGGGGTGCCTTGTCCCGGTGGGGGTGGGTGACCACGAGCCGCCCGTGGCACCTTCCCCGCAACGCTTCAAGGCAAAAGCCACGCGCCCGGCAGGCCTGGGCCGTGCTTTGCCAGCGAGCAGGAGGGCCGGGCGGTCACTTCCCGTTCTGTGTCCCCCAAGGGGCAGCCGAGGCCCTCAGCGATGCTTCGGTGCGGAGCTGGAGCTCAAAGCAGAACGGGGTGGTCAGCATCGCCCTGGAGGTCTTCCTCCCTGGGCGGGGGCCTCGCAGCTGCCCTGGGGAGGGGAACCATGGCAGGCACCCTCAGACAGTGCTTCTGCGGGAAAAGTTCTTTGGTGCCCGCTTCCACCTGAGCACAGCTAATTTATTTGCGTGTTGTTATCACCGGCTTTTTTAAGACTTAGGCCTGCCTGTGATACAGATGTCTTAATATAATTTAAGAAAATGTGGTGGTTAGCTTTCCGAAGGGGTGTCCAGCACATGGAACAAACGCTCCTAATGTCTTCTATTAAAGGACTTCTAATTTTCCGCTGATGTTTCCATCATAATCTCTACGCTGTTATTTCCATTTACCCACTTTTCTCTGTATCTCTTGCTAGTTACCTACAGATGTTAACTAAGTACTTAATGTCTGTTTCTTCTGCCTACTGTCTTCTGCGAGCTGGTGACCGTGGGTGTGAAAATGTCGGTCTGAACTTTCCATCCCCTAGCCCCTCATAAACTATTAAAGTGGTGATTCCATAAACAGACAGCTGGTGTTCATGGTTGGCTTTTCCTATGCCTATGAAAGAAAAAAAAGGCCAAGGTCAATTAGAGCATTATTTTGTGTTTAGAAGAACGAGCCGGTGCTGAAGACTGCAAATGTCTAAATCCAGAGAGCTAAGCTCACTTGATTTAGTCAGTAATTCTTTACTTGGCTTCACGTGGCCAAACAAATATATTTCCAAAATTACTTGCGGACAACAGGTACTGCAGATAGGTTTGTGTCTACTTGTGGCCAAGACTAGATCCTCCAAAGGAAAGTGTAGAAAGAAAAAAAAAAAATCCCTCGTAAGTAGATGAATTACACACCTTACTCGAGTCTACTTTTAGTTCTGTAGAGTTAAATATTTTGTGGCCTGAAATGCGGTGTGGGCTCCAGTCAAATATAACCTGGTAACACGTCTCTGGAAATCCTTAGTGTTTGTTTAACTGACCCGCTCCCTCTTTGGAGAAGAGTTTCTTTTCAAAGCCAGCAAGGGTGAATACAACTGTCCACTCTTTCTGTTTTATACTTGCCCCTTTTTTGCTGTGCTTCATGTAAGAGAGACCTGGGCTAGCCGGAGACCAGGTGAGATTTAGTGTGCCCATGTGGAGTTTGAAACATAAGGATCTTACTTTGTACGGTTATCTTCAGATGGGCAGTATCTGCCAGTGAAGGACAGCTGGGCTTAGCAGGTGTAAACTGATGAAGATGCAATATTAAAAAGAAAAAGAAAGGTCCTTTAATAAAACACATTTTGAGTTGACAAGTAAGGTTTTCTGCAGTTCAGCCAGTCTGGGACTGGTTGAGCAGGATGAGGATTATTGCCGTAGGAAAAAATAAACCAAATCAAAGACAACCGTACCACAAATGTGACTATGGTGCGGTAAAAGCTGTTTAGGTTATATCCTGATTAAATGCTGGCTTTAATTAGGCCACTATCAATGGGCATTTAAAAGAAAATTGACATAAGTGTTACTGGTGGTGTTGGTTCTAGGTTACAACTGTACGAACAAATTTTAATCTTAAGTAACAAAAAGCGTCATTAGAACTAAAGGTCAATCCTAGATAAGAAAGAATGGGTAAGACTGCACGGTGAAGTAAACAGACATAGTGTTTTTGCACGATATATTTTTAATCCAGAATTAAAATGAGTCAATAACGTGCTGCAGTTTAGGAGACTGTTCCATGAAGGGAAACTACTGGCACTAATAGCAGCCAGGTGGAACGAAGGGATGGCGTGTGAATTGAAGGGAATTTATTGTAGTCTATGGAGGATAATAAACATTAGGACAAATTTTAATAGGCCCCAAAATGAAAGAAAATGAAAGAATGAACCAGTGGAGATACTCGAAGATGTAATTTAGTCCCTAATGACTTTTTTCAAGCTATACGTAGTAGCGAAGTTTCAAATATCCATTTTATACCACTGGGATTTTTTTGAATCATGCACCAGGGTAGAATTTACCTTGAAAACCTTAAATGAAAACATGTTCTAACTTAAAAAAAAACCCAAGCCAAAATCAGTCAGTCCCTTGGGACTACACCACTTTATTTAGATGCGCCAACCAGAGACAGAGGTTTAGAGCAGAGGCCTCTTCATTTATGGTAGTGGTGAAGGATGCGGAAACCTGTGTACAGGGTTCCTGCTAATAGGTAGGGAATACAGCTATTGAGTTCCTTGGATAAATTTCTTGCGACTGCTGTACAGCTAATTCAGTATGTTATGCGCTTGATTATCTAGTGGTAGTCATCAATTTACTTCCCGTCCCGTAAATGTTTGGTGTGTTTTTGACTCTCTGTGATCTAGGTCATTTATAAAAGTAGCAAAAGTTAGTACAAATTATACAGGATTACTCCAAATGTTGGTGCTCTGCCTGTGGAGTTGCACAACGGCTTTTAAGTAGGACCGTCCACAATTTACGATAATCAGCCAATTTACCCTTTTAAGGCCGCTGATTCACAAATATGTGCAGAGAAAAAAGTCCTGTGTGCTTTAATTTTTTTTTGGTTCATTAATTTTAATAAGGTTCTGTCTGAAAAGCTGTATTGCCACATTAAATGCCCCACCACTTCTCCGTAGTAACTGCTTTTGTCAGGGATGTTGGACTGTTCTTGGAAAGTCTACGTTCTGGCGTAGCAGGCGACAGACGGTGTTTTCCAGGTGGGCTGAGCTCCACGTGAGGCAGGGGGAGCACCTGGTCTGTTCTTAGAATATTCATGCATTTTTAGAGGACACATTAACTTGCTCTGCACTGTATTCAGTGCTGAGAGTAAGAAGAGGAGAAAACCTCTTGAAAATGGTTCACGTATGGCCAGATTCAGGGAGGTTAGATGAAATGGGCAGGAATCAATAGCTTGTGGTTTGATTAGGATAAATGGACTTTATTTGGGGAGAAAGAGAAAGAGAGAGTGTCAAGTGCATGAAAGCATTGTCGGTTAGCCGAGAACACTACTTGAAATTATCTGCTTCCGAGGCAAGTTGCTAAATCGAAAACTAGCATGCAATGTGATTCTACCACAGATAAAGTAAATGCTCTTTGAGGATATATAAATAGAACTGTTATGAGTAGGCAAGCAAGTGGGGTGATTCCTGATCTGTCACTCTGGCAGAATTAGAGAATTACATTTCAGACCGCAAGCTAGCCTAAGACAAGGTGAAAAGTAAAAGAATTAAAAGAGAAATAATGACAAAAATACAGTAAGGAAGAATTCAGGTCAATGTGACCTGAACTTGTTTAGCAGACACAGAAAGCAGTTAGGAGAGGTGATGTGTTATCCTACAAATACTGGTAAACAATTAACCACAATGGAGGGGAAAAAATTGTTGTCATTAGCTAATGTGAACAGAACGTGAACCAGTGACCCACAGCGGAGTCAAAGAGAGGTGTTGTGGGGTGTTTTGTTTTGGTTTGGTTTTTACTATTCAGACCAAACCCGGAGCTATGTAATTTCTACAGTTTACCTGTTACGGAGCCTTGGAGTTCATGCTTTTTAAGCTCCTGTTTTCACTTTGATACCCCTCGATGTGCCTAAACAGTCGATGAGAAGGTAGCACTTTGGGAACTGGTCTGCGATCCCCGTCAGCACCCAGAAACAGCATTAGAACAAAAGGTCTCAACAAACAATCCTTTTCCAGGCAGACATACTGTAGAATGTCCTCCTTAAGTCTGCGTACCCTCACCTTGAGGCAATTACATTCTCCGTTGCCATAACTGGCGCTGGAAAGGTGATTCCGTCTCTCGGTGCTGTAATTGCGAGTGACGGTCCTCTAATTCCCGGCCTCTTTGCAACCAGTTTATTACACCTGTTTCCTCATGTGCCGGTGTTGTCTTTCTGCTGTAAGTACGTCTTTTTCCTCCCTGATGCTTAGCTGCTGGACATATTTATGAACAAAACGTATGTTCACTTCCAGCTTTTTCTTGGGTGACTGTATTAGCAAAAAGTTAGACCTTATTTCCACAAGAGGCTCAGTTGAACAGTCCGCTTAATAGTACACGAGAGTATTGTTAGTAGTTAGAAGTCCTAATTGAATAGGTATTTCATGGTTTCTAATTTAGCAAATATTACTTACAGGTTTTTAAAGTATTTAAAAGCACTCACCAGGTAAACAAAAATTGCACTTCAAAAAGTTAACAGTTTTCATTTTTCTGGTATCTGAACTTTAGGGTGACTACTTTTCTAGCAGTGCATAAAATCTTCCATGATTTAGACAACCTGCATTTATATTCTTAAAAAAAAAAAAAAAAAAAAAAAAAAAAAAAAAAGGGTGTAGCCTTCCAAACCTT